CACACACACACACACACACACACACACACACACACACACACACACACACTCGCACACACACATGCCCAAGCCTGCACGGGGACGTGTGCACACAGTTTCCACTGTGCCAAGAAACTGCTGCAAGGCAAATTCTCACCCACACTAATGGCTTCTGACTGCTCCTTGGCAACCCCAGCATTTTCACCTGGGTGGATGTGCTCTCCAAAATACAGACACTGGAGCGATCTCATCATCTGCTCATGTGACACAGATGGAGAGTGGCTATTAGGAGCCAGGCAGTGGGCCTTGGGGATCTGAGGTGCTGTTCTGTAGCCTGAGGCAATTTTGAAAAGCAGTAGCAAAAAAAAAAAAAAAAAAAAAAAAAAAAAAAAAAACCACACCCACATTCGCATCGCAAGTCCAAGTTTGAAGCCAGTATGTCTGTCTGTCTCCACACTGTGGATAGAGATATCTTTGTCTCTGGCTGTGGAGTCTCTGTGGCTCTCTGAATGCACGTTTCAGATTATGTCTGGAGTAACTCTTCCTTCACTGTCTTCCAAATAGAAAAACACACTCTGTAAACAATGCCTGTGTGTATATATTTCTTCCTAAGCACATATGGTTTCTGTGTATATGTTTAAGCTGAAATTGTCAGGATTTTGTTAAAATCTCATTTAGCTTTCTTTGATAGATTTTTGAATACACTTATTGCAAAAGGTTAATGGCTTAATTGAAGGAAGTTCAACGCAAAAAAGGCATTTGCCTTTTGAACCCAATCAATGACCTTAAAAAATGAGAGGCTGTGACTCCGTGGTGCATTTTCTCTTGTTTAAAAGGAAAGGGGCTGATAACACCCTCAGACTATATGATTCACCGTATTTAGTTCCAGAAAAAAAAAAATGTAGTGAGCGTGAGCATCCTTTGATGACGGGCTGAAACTGAAGAAAGAGAAGCTTTAATGAATTTTAATGGAAAGCAGTCCATTTGGTAAAAATGTTATGAAATATTTGAATTTAGATCAGTGTCATAAATAATTATAAACAAAAACATGTCTGGTTTTACATTAATAACTAGATACTGAATAGGATGCTTTTTTATTAAGTTTGACAATTTCATACATGTATAAGGATAAAAGACTTTTAATGCTAATCTTTAGATCTCTACAAAAGGAAGAATTTTTCTTTCCTAAATCCAACAATAAATACCATCGTGTTTTTCCCCCCTGAACTACAAACCAAGTCTAGCACCAAGTGCTAAGAGCAACATGAAGAAGAAAATGTTTGAAGGGCAACTACGTGTTCTAAACCTAAACAAAACGTGTGTAGGCGTTGTTGACACTAAGCTGCTGGTACTGTTGGATGTTGCTTTCTTGTTTCAAGGCCGTGTGGACCAAGGTGGCTGGTCACTGCCCAGGGCATGTACCCCAGCACAGTGTGTGTGCTAGAGAAAACATGGACAGTGCAGGCATCAACCCCTGAAGTTACAATTCGATACTGTAGAAGCCTCATGGAAAAGAACTGTCTCTTCCTTACTTTGGTCCTACCTTGCTGGATAACGTCAAAGACAGGACTGTTTGTTGGAAGTGTGAAGGACTGAAGGACTTATCCAAAGCTTTTTCCTCTCTCTGACAATGGTCACACTGGGGAACTGAACCCACAGGGCACCCAAGGGCTGTTCTTAGTAGCTGGTGGATTGCTTGCATGAACAGACTCACTTCTTAAACACACCAGGAATGGTGCTCCTTGGGAGTTTGGTGCTTGGGACCTTAGTGCTCCCAGGACCTATGTGGGTGACTATATCACTACCAAATTCTCATCTCTGATGAAAAAAAGAAAAGAAAAAAAATGTTGTTGGTTTCCTTTTGAAGATGGCTAATCCTTTGACCAAGATGATGCTCTAAGTTTTGGGAAAGATATTCAGATCAGGTATACATTAATAAGATATAATATGTATAAACATGAGAAGTAACACTCAAGGCCACTGGGCACATAGGCTTCAAGTATAATAAACCATGAGGGAGACTCCTGAAGGTCCAAGGCTTCACCCCAGACTCACTGACTCCTGGGCCCAAGGCTGCATTGTAAGCCGGTTTTGGGGATTCGCTTATACACCGCTGTGGTGTGGTGTGAGTGCAGAGGTTAGAGGACCACTCGTAGGAGTGAGCTCCATCCTCCCGCCACTGTTCTCCAGGTATCACACTTGGGTGGTCGAACTAGGTAGCAAATTACTTTACCTACCGAGCCATCTCAAAGGCCCTGCCTTTTCCTTCTTAGAGTTGATTTGATTTTATTATTTCATGTACTGTTTCTGTGAGTGTATGTGCGCTTGTGTGCGTGGTGGGGAGGTATGAGTATGTGCACGTGAAGTGGAAATGCTCACATCCGTGCAAAGGTATACGTGTTCTAGAGAAGGACTTCAGGAGTCCTATTCTGCTACTCTCTGCTTCATTCTGTTAAGAAAAGGTCTTCAGTCTGACGGCTAGCAAGCTCCTGTAATCCTCCTGTCTGTGCCCTCCACAGTGCACAGGTGACAGACACCACAGCAACACCCATCTTTGTATGTGGCTGCTGGGGACCCTAACTCAGGTCCACATGTTTGCACAGCGGTCACTCTCACTCACGGAGCCATCCTACCAGCTCTCTACCACATTCTTAAGGCAGGGTCATTCCCTGCATCTAGAGCTTGCCAATTTGGCAACTGGCTGGCCAGCAAGCCACGGGGCCATCCTGCCTCCACCTTCTGCTTCCCCAGCACTGAGATGCAGACATGTGTCCAGCTTTTTCTGTGAGTGCTAGGAACACAAACTTGGCTCTTCATGCTTGTTCAGCAAGCACTTTACCAATTGAGCAATCTTCTCAACTCAGTGGCACTGGTCCTTAATTTGGATAACCTGCCTT